CCCCAAAACCCCAAAACCCCAAATTTATTAATTTAAATGTCAAGTAGAGAAATTGAAATAAATTAATTTAAATTTACGTTTAAATATGGATTTGAGTGGGCAAAATTACTATCCTGATGAGGATGAAGTCATTGTATAATTCTTAATATGTCTTTATTTCTCTATTATAGGAATATGTTCCAAAGCTAAGTAAGCTCTAAGAAGAGTATATGGAAAAAGCAAAGATTAGACAAAAAGAGGGTATTGTAAAACCATAGGTGGTTGCTGGAAGAGAATTTAAAGGAACTGCTTTCATCTCAAAGCCAGATAAAATTATCTTTAAAGTAAATAGACAACTCTCTAATTCAAAATTATAGGATTTTACAGTTGGCATACCTCACACTCAAACAATATTAGTGACTAATGTGTCATTTTCTTTCAATTCATTCAAACTGTTACCACTTAATGACAACATCAAGGTAGTTAGAAATCGATTTAATCACATCATTATAGGACTTCTTTTAAATTCAATACACACCAACAGGAAGAATGTCAGCAGGTCTCTCAACTACTATAACAATTACATTTACACCCTAGCTAAATCAAGATATTTTTGGAGTTTTCCCAATCTTATCAGAGACTGGTTAAATTGATATTCCCTTAGAATGCACCTGCAAAAAGGCTTTACTCTCAGTGGAAGATCCTTTGATTGACTTTGGTCCTGTTATCTATGGAGAATAATGCACAAAAACTCTTAAAATTAAGAATGATGGTGCACTACCTACTAAGATTTACATAAAAACGAATGATGGTCAGTCAATACCATTCGTGAATTAAGATGAATTGAATAAGAAACTTGAAGAGCAAAACTAAATTCTCCAAGAATAAGAGTAAGCAGCTAATTAAGATCTTCTCGAAGATCCATCCCAAGAATAGAATAATGCAGATGTTGCAGCTCAAGATGATAATGTGTTCCAAGAAGAGGAAAAAGCTGAGAAAGTGAAAAAGGAAGAAATCTAAAGTGAGCTCAAAGGAGATCCTTTTGAACAGTTCCTAGCCCAAGTCTAATTTAAAAGAACATCAGAGATTGAGGGTTACTCTAATATAAAGATAACATTTACTTTTGTTCCATTAAAGCTTGGAATGATCAATCAGGATTTTACTATTTTCTTTGAGAATCAAGATTATACTAGGCCTATCCCATTTGCCATTAAAGGAGAGTGCGTTGATGTTCCTATTTATGTTGAAAGAATTGAGTACAATTTGAATATTTTGGTATACGAGCAATTTTACAGAGAAAAAATTATCCTTTTCAATAGAAGTGCTTAACCCATGAAAATTTAACTTTACTTCCCTAAGTCATTCAAGCCATATCTTGAGTTCAATCCAACTCTTGGCTATGTTTAAGGAAGAGGATCATTTGAAATATGGTTTAAATTCAGGCCAGATAGAAGTATTTTAACTAGCTGTCAAAGGTATCTCATAAAGTAAGATGATGAGAGACCACCTAAAGATGAATATGAAGAGTTCACAATGAGAATACCTATCAAGGTAACTGGAGCTAATTAGGTTTTGCCAGTTAAGTTTAGTATCTTATCAGTTTTCACTGTAAATGCTGTCACATTCAATCCTCCAGCAGTTGATTTCGGTAACGTATTTCACAAGAGTGCTTCTAGAGTTTAAATTGTAATGGAAAATCATTCTTTGCTTCCACAGTAGTTCTCATTTGTAAGACTACCAAGAGAAATCTCAGTTGCAACTGACAATGGAACTGGTTTCATTTTGCCATCTGAAAAGTATAATATTCAATTTGAGTATAGACCAAGTTAACAAGCATGCTTTGAAGAATCTAATATAGTAAAACTTTCTTTTATAATTTACCATTTTAGTTCTGCAGATTTATCACTGGATCAATTTGTGCAAGAGAAGTAAGAATCAGTTATACTGCTAATGTATCAAAATGCCCTCTCTAGGCTGATAAATCTAAAATAGAATTCTAAGCTCTTCCTGATAACGAAACAAAAGAGGTGGTCCTTGAAATTAAGAACACATCTCAAAAGAACTTGATCATGGAAGTTGTCCCTCCTAATTTCTAAGTCTCAGGTTTACTCATTAATCCCCTAGTAGTTCCTCTCTAAGGTGGAAGATCAACACTTCTTTCCATTAAATACAATTCTAAGTTTAGAGATTTCAGTGCTTAGGCACTTGAGGATATGAATAAACCTAAAACTATTGATGGTTAAGAGAGTCTACCCAAAGGTTTAGTAGCAAGAAATAGAAAATTAGCTGAAAGACTTGAAAAGAAAATGAAGGAAAAGGTTGATACCTAAATAAATGATCCAAAAAAGAAGGGCTAGCCTCCAGCTCCAGTAAAAAAAGAAGAGGCGAAAAAAGATGCCATTCCAATTCCTAAAGGAAAAACAGCGCAACAAGTATAATAAGAAATGGAAGCTGAAGAAGAAAGGAAAAGAAAGGAGCTAGAAGAAATTGAGAGATAGTTGATGCTAGAAAAGGAGAGGAATTTTGACAAAGAGGGTGAACTTAGAAAACTAGGAGGAAGAGTTTATGATTTCTTCCCAGATGATGGTAATTTTTATAGTCTCATTTATTTGTAGAGATAAAGAGAAGCTAGCACTATGATTGGCTTGTACCAATATATTACAAATAACCAGAGAAAGATGATATGGAGGTTAAAGTTTTGTACCTTGAAGCAAGAACTTGCACCGTTAAGAGGACTTTAGTTCCAAATATTGAAACCATGGAATTCGGTGAAATACCTGTAGCTTTCAGAAAAGTAAGTCATTCAGTATTTCAAAAAATACTATAGACTTAAGAAATCCTTTTGAAAAATGTGGGTTACCATGATGAAACCTTAAGAATGGAACCTTTAACACCCTTTGGAGGATTTTCTGTGTTAAACGCTTTAAGAACAGTAAAGCCAGGAGAAACAAAGGCCATCGTTATTTAGTTTGAACCATTTAATCAATAAATTTATGAGGAAAAGCTGATGATCTACTCTAATCACACTGTTGTATCAGTGACTTTGAAGGGTACAGGAGTAAGGCCTGAAGTTTCCATTTCCCTTGATGATGGATTGATGTCGTTTGGAAATGTTATAGTAAATGAGATGGTAGAGAAAGCTTTTAGTATTAAGAATGTGTCATCATTTCCAGTTAACTTTGAGCTGATTTCAAAGGTTAGTGGAGTTGAGAATAAATCTCATCTAAAACCATTTACTTTGATCCCTGCTTAAGGAACTATCAAGCCAAACTCTGATTATCCTGTGAAAATCTAATTCTAGCCTGACCATCCTAGCAACTACTATTTCGATGTACTTTTAGTCGATATACCAAATTAAGTATAAGCTAAGAATGTTTTCTTAAGAGGATGGTGCTATAATAGATAGGCGTTTGTTAGAGAGCACGAGCCTTTTGAATGGAAGCCATTTGATAAATTGAAGAAAAGATATGAAGATCCTCTTAAGATTCTTAATAACGCTCAACCTTCAATAGGAACAAAGCCTAGAATAACTTTGGAATACTTGAGAGATGAAGATATTGATAGTCTTGGAACAGATGCATCAGCATATGAAAGAGAGAAAAATAAGATCAGAAAAATTTTGATTGGAAATTGCAGGATGATGGATAACAAAATGGAAAAGAATGCTGCATTTGAAATAACCCCTGCTGTAAATTTATAATTGTAAAATTAACTCTCTTATAGAAAGATGACAAGTTCTTTGAGTGTGATAATCTAAAGGGAAATGTAAATGGTGGATAGGAAATAGTTGTAAAGTTTACATTTAATCATCCAAAGAGTGATCCTATGCTAAAAGGAATAACTGCATTAAGAGGAATTGGTCAATGGGTTGAAAGCTTATGGGAATTAAAATTAATTGGAGGTTATGTAGAGCCAGGTCAACCAGATACTATTCTTGTAGAGATCTTACTAAGAGCATATGTTGAGCAAATTTGATTTAAGAATTTATAATAACTATCAATATATTATTATTAAATTTTATGGGGTTTTGGGGTTTTGGGGTTTTGGGG